GCAGAACCATCCATTATTGTTTTCAAGAATGAGCTTCGCAAACTCACTTGCAAACATAGTGCTTCGCTCTCCGGTATGCCTACGCCATGTACATAACCCCCCTGTGTGCTCCCCAACGCATTCACGCTGCACAACTTGTCACTACTTTCACTTTAGCTCATACATGTACATGCACATGTACATCCTTCAAAGCGGAGAACCCCTTGATAGGCGACAAGCCTCTGGGTCATCCTAATAAAGATAATAGAGAGGTTCCGCGTAACGTAATTACGTTAGTAAAAAACGTAGTCGATCTACGGAAAGTCTTACGTAAACTGCATGCGGATCTGGGTTCCGCCATACGGAGTTTTCAAATCACGTAGCTGCCCTTGGCAACTCCGAACGCGGCAGTGTACAACCAGATCGACCTGGGGAGAGAGTCATAAATTTGTACCCAATCCAGCTACGTTATCAGAGCCCTATCTACGTACTCTCCGAAGACAACTTTCCGAAAGTGGAGTGCAAACTCGCGATAATTCACGGGTTTTTCCCGCCCACTAACGTAAAGTTGCTCAACTTTATGTAGTGCGGAACCTCTCTATGATTTAGAAAAGCGATCCTGTCAGCTTTTCTATTATTGTGTTCACATGGCAAGAAAAACGACACCGCTATGCTACGTAAGTTTCTACGTAAGGTGCTCGGTATTTCACTTAGGCTACGTAAGTCTCTACGTAAGGTGCTCGGTATAGATCTACCAACGCGCAACGGTTGATAGCCGCGTGCTGTGCACGTGCACGGCAGACATTGTGTTGCATGCATGCAGTGCAGTCCGTGTTCGGATGTGCATGCGCGAGGAACTTCCTCCTTTGGAACTGCTTCTTGTATGAGCTGTTTCGGATATTTCGTCTCCTAGATCCTGGCCTGGCTTATTTCGTTTCGGCGCTGCTGAGACCTCCTTTCGCGGAATATTACTCAATATCGACAGGTGAGTTGACCAGTTACCTTTGATTCATTTGCTTGTGTTGACTCTTTCATTTACGAAAAGTGTGCTCATTTTGGGCGGAATGCAATAAATAATGGAAAAGCTGGCAGGATCTCTTTTCTAAATTTAGCTTTTCCGCTGCCGAGGCCCCCTTTTACGGAATACTCGATGACAGGTGATCTCTGAGTTGACCGGTTTCCTTCGATTCATTTGCTTATGCTCACCCTTTCATTTACGGAAACGTGTGCTGATTTTATTCGGATTTAGATCCATTTTTATCTCTTTGCCCTTGTCTACAGTGTGCGAAGAACGCGAGTTCACCTTCTTGACGGTAAGGCTTATGTTAGATGTGTTGTCGAAATACTCATATTCATTGTACATTGGTACGTTACAAGTAAGGCACTGGTCAGTGGCATACTATAGTTGGCAGTTCCCAATCTGGAGGGAAAGGTTCAAGGACCCATTGACCGAGTTTGCAAAAATAAATTCGCATATCAGGGAAAATCTTTATTATTATTATTATTATTTTATTTATTTTACTAGGGTGTTTCCCACAGACCTATGGTCTTCTTACGGGAGCCCCTAGAAAGGTTAAGCATGAACGAACAAATGGGCGATAATCTGTACAAGAGCGAACAGTGGAAGGCAGCATATTCCACCGATCAGAACCTATGTAGCCAAGACGAGAAAAACCAGCTTTAGTGTGGGCAGAAGGCAAGGCCAGAGAAAAAGAGATTTGGGACCTAGTGACGGAAGTAGTATGTGCACTGGAGGAGCGGGTATGGAAAATTTCTTTTAGGAGGGAGCTACATGTGCCGCTATGGACAGAGCGAAATACAAGAATAAAAAGCTTCAAATTGACTCGGACAGAAATGTGAGAGAGATTGTATAGGCTAAGAATATGAGAGGCACTGGTAAAGTTATCGAAACCAAAAACTATTCTTAGACACCTGTTAAATAGCCGGACATACTTATCGAAATAGTAAGAACTGAGGGTGTGGACGTATGCGCTACTTGCATACTCCAATGACGACTGAATAACACTAAGGTAAAAGCTACGCCGTGCGTGGAATGGCAAGAGATGTCTTGACATGCGGTAGGCGCCGAGTTTCCTGTTGACAGACCCAATCAAACCGTCAATTTGTGGCCCAAAAGTCAGGTGCTCGTCAATGATAATGCCAAGATAGCGTGCGGTCTGCGCTCGAAGAACATGGACGATCTCCATTGTGGAGAGGTTCAGTAAACTTGTATGATTAGATTTGTTTACTCGAGTCTGGGCTGTTTGATTTATTATTTGTGAGTTCCGCCGAGATTGCACTGCCCCAAATGAAGTTTCGTGCCGCCAAGGCAAGAATTACGATCTGCAATCTGTTTGTAGTACCTGCAAGAATGTGCTGTACATGTATCGTACTTTCTCTGTTGCTGTTTCAGTTGCCGTCATGTTGCTAAAGAAACGTTCAGTAGAGAGGTTCTGCAAAACGAAAATTCGAACGAAGTTTCGCGACAGTCATTGCGAAAGTGTGTACGAATTTTTGCACAAACTTTGCGTTCTGCACGTTTTCGTACTTTGCGCGGCCCAAGTGCACGTACGCCATGACCCGATCTCACGAAAGTGTGTACGACTGTTCATTTCGCGTTCCCTGCAAGTTTCGCGTCCAAAGTTGAGTTCGTGCGAAGTTTCGCACTTCAGGACGTGGAACGACTGTTTGTACGCATTTTCGTTTTGCAGAACCTCTCTAGTGACTCATTTGTTTCATACGAGACGAGTCAATGAGTTGGTGTGGCTTAGAATCTTTCGCTGTAGAAGAAATCTATTCGTATGTCTATTGGAGAAATAATTGTATTCACTGGTTATAAAATAGGTTAAGACAAACTCACAGAATAAATACCATCGGTCCCTTGGTGTTCGTCCTAAAGAGGTTTGACTGGATATCATTCATACTCACCAAAAAATGTGTACGATTCTATTATTATGAAGTGCCTTGTTTATCTCTCAGTACCTCCAACCATAGCCTTGCCCCTTTTATCCTCAGGATCAGTGTAGTTGTTGGAACGAGGTGTCGGACTCAGCAATGTATTTGTTTACATTTTAATACATGTTTATTGTTCCTCCTTTGCTGTGTTGTTTTAGAAAATCGTGGACTAACAGTTCGAAGTCATTGAACTACTTCCAAAAGTTGTATCGACATCAACAGGGTTACGATTTCAGTGCAATATGGTGCAGGATGACCTTATCACGATAACCCATGATTATAAACCATTATAAACACAGAATCAACAAAAACATCTGCGACACGCACCTGGTTACATTTCTCAAATAAATCTGATCGAGGGTGGGGAAATCTGAAAGGCAAGACAATTTTATGACAGAGTCATGAAATTCTGCTCCAGCAACATGCACAGAATGACCTCCGTATAAAAAAGGTAGTGTTGAAACGATCTCACCGGATACTCGTTAGCTCGCTCGCCAGAAACTCGGCTCGTTTGTGCGGCCAGCTCGTTTGCACTAACGAACACCGTACACCGTACTCCGTACACATGGCAGTACATGTCGACCGGGGAGTCGTAAAATATTTTACGACTCATCGATCGAGAGTCCAGTCCCGATCCCGCGCAAAGTGAAAATCACTCGCAGTTACAGGTGACTGTATGCCTGCACGACACTTGAGTTGTTTCAGTTGTCGTTGCAGCTTTGGTGGACTCTACTGATGTCTTGTTCCGCATCTGCTGACCTGTCGCAGGATATGCTTCGGTCACCTCTCCATTCGAGTGAAAGTTACGCTCAGTCGTTTGGAAGTTTTCTCCCGCGATGCAGCGAAGACCAGGGCAACTTGCAATCTTTGCAAAACGGTCTATTCTTACAAAGGCTAATCGACGACGGCGCTGAAAAGACATCTCGACACCAAACAGCAGTCCGAAGTGAAGCAGCAGCAACCCCAAATGCCGGCGCGGCGGTGATAATTTGAACCAGCTGAAAAAAATCGAACTTAGAAAAAAAAAATATTCAAAAAAATAATCATAATAATTTTTTTATTATTATTTGCCACATCAATGAAACTCGTTAGCTCGCTCGATAGCTTGCTCGTTAGTGGAACTGATCGCTCGTTTGTTATAGATACGCTCGTTTCAACACTAAAAAAAGGTATCACCACGGTCCACCACTACTCACATGTATCCCCGCAGAAGAACATGCTAGTCCCATTTTCTGCAAGAAAAGGCTTGCACATCAATGCGTATTATACGGTATTGATATGATGTGAAGGCCATCATTTACATATTGATAGGGCATTTCATTGATTGGTGACAGAAAAAACAGAAGAAATTATAGCAATAAAAACTGCTTTATGGCAGTTTTCTAAAAAAAGTTATTGTGTTCTAGTCCATGGACCCCGTCTAAAAAGTAAGAAATTAACGAAATGTGATAGCTGAAAATTAAAATTTCACACAAAACCTCACAATAATCACACACAGAATGAAAAGCTACATGTAGAAGACCTTTTCTCCTCGTGATCCTCTTTCCTATGCATGCATGTTGCCAATTGTTGGTGGAGTACAAGTTTAGTGTTGAAAGCAGCATTTCAAGTGTTGTGATTATTATGAGGTTTTGTGTGAAATTTTAATTTTCAGCTATCACATTTCGTTAATTTCTTACTTTTTAGACGGGGTCCATGGACTAGAACACAATAACTTTTTTTAGAAAACTGCCATAAAGCAGTTTTTATTGCTATAATCTTGTATTTGAAAGCCCTATTTGAATTTAGAAAAGCGATCCTGTCAGCTTTTCTATTATTGTGTTCACATGGCAGAAAAAACGACATCGCTATGCTACGTAAGTTTCTACGTAAGGTGCTCGGTATTTCACTTAGGCTACGTAAGTCTCTACGTAAGGTGCTCGGTATTAGATATACCAGCGCGTGGTAGCCGTGTGCTGTGCACGTGCACGGCAGACATTGTGTTCAGTGCATGCATGCAGTCTAGTCCGCGGATCCGTGTTCAGATGTGCATGCGCGAGGAACTTCCTTCTTTGGAACCAGGGAGTCGTAAAATACCGGGAGGCGACACGAGATGCACAACCGCGTCGGATGATTGCCTCAGCTCGGGCACGAGTGCTGAGACCTCACGCGCTGCATGGCGAGGGACTTCCCATGAGGTCAAAGCGGCGCAGGTCATGCAAAAGGACGCGTTCGCTGTTTGGTCCAAAAAATTTGAAAACTCAATAAAATTATCCTGCACACAACGAATCCAGTGTCAGCAGTTCGTTTTGTTTTTCTAAGTAATAATACTTTGTGCCTTGGCCTTCGAAGTAAAGGATGATGGAGCTTGACAGAGATGACTGCCAAAGTGATGAGTCCACCGTGGAAGATGTAGATGACGCCACGTATTCACTTGGTGACCTGAGTTGTGGGGATGTTCAGCTGTGGGCTACAGGTGAGATTCTTTCGTTTGCATGTTTTTGTTTCTTCCTTGTGGACACGAATGTATAATCTGTAGCATACCTAAGTGCCCGAACTGACCCGATAAATTAGGTGGTCGACACCATCCTTTTCATCCTAGTCTGCCCACGATGCATTGTCTGTTCACTGTGACAGGATATTTATTGAAGTCCTGAAAATTTACTTGTGTACCTAGTATGTATCATCACCGTAGATGATGTAAACCTCCATCCTCAAACCATACTTTGTCTATGTGCAGATCGATGTAAGAGTGGTAGTGCCATCATGGTGTACAGGCCTATGGAAGGTGCAGTGATCCATGGAATTTGCAAACTGCTGACAATGAGACAGGCGAGTGTTACTGAGGCGACGGAGTCATTCCTGCATGTTATTATGACACGGTTACACAAGGCATCAGGTACTGCAAATCTGCTACGCCAGGAAGTGTGCCAGCTGAGTGAAGGCATGCAAGGGTGCTGATATTTCGCAAGCATGGCAACAAATGCTGTCCGTCATCGCAACAGCTATTCCCGAAGTGAAAATCAATTGTGAAGGTCAGTGCGTTTTGCATGCATGTTGGAAAAAATTGGCTTCTGACTAGGTATGCAGACTAGGTATGCAAACGCTGGCTTTTGAATACTAGTACAGTCTCTGCAACCACCAGTCCTTATATGTTGTCTTTTTCTTTTCTCTTCTTCAGATTTGGAAGTTACATCTGCAGTGCTAGCGAATCTGATAAGCTACCTGCATGCCACGGCTGCCGCTGCTATCAGGAAAGCGTCAATAGCACCATCCAAAGCTGCTGAAGCCATCCCCGAACCGGTGATTGACAATTTGTCTCACCTTGCTGAAAAGTACCATGGTGGTTGGTGCTTGGTGGCCGTGCGGCGTGAGCTGGAAGGAGCAAGGTGTCGCAACGACAACTTGCTGCAGCTTATACCTTTATTTGGCAAGGATGCCATGCCGTGACAAGCCTTCAGCCTTGTTTGGAGAATTCAGGTGGCCCGGCGTGGCTCGGAAGCTCTGTATAAGACACCATACGTCACAGATAAAAACAACTGAACCAGTGATATGTGAATTTTGCGCTTGTGTGTGTGTGTGTGTGTGTGTGTGTGTGTGTGTGTGTGTGTGTGTGTGTGTGTGTGTGTGTGTGTGTGCTTCTGTGATAAGTGGTATAAGCAGTCCACAGGGTATTCACCTTGAGTGCATTCGCCGATAGTGTGACTTTCGTCGCACAGAACCTTCTTCAGTTGGTCAGGTGACTCGCGTGGCTCGGAAGCTCTGTATAAGACAAAATACGACACAGATAAAAACAACTGAACCAGTGATATGTGAATTTTGCGCTTGTGTGTGCACGAGCATGCATGTGTGTGTGTGTGTGTGTGTGTGTGTATGTGTGCTTGTGTGTATGCTACTGTGATAAGCGGTACAAGCAGTATACAGGATATTGACGGGTATTCACCTTGAGTGCATCCCGCCGATAGTGTGACTTTCGTCGCAGAGAACTTTGCTCAGTCGGTGAGGCGACTCGGCCTTACGTTTCCTGAAGGCAATGTGTTCAGAACAGTTATGAACAGCTATGAACAGTTGAGAAATGACAAATATTGTTTGCAGTTCATGGGCCATATAGATGTGAAACACTTTGAATGCAGAAGAATGAGGATAGTGGCATCAAATACTGCATGGATTCTGTTTGATATGCTACTTTTTTTTCCCTTCCATGGAAAGGTGAGTACATCGTCGAACTTCATCTCGAAACTTCACACAAACCTAGAATGGAACTTGGACAACATGAAGGGGCCATGGGCATGGTGTGTTTAGTGGAGAACTATTCCGAAAACAGGGTGTCATTCGCATTGACTCAATTCAAATTTGAGTACATTTCGTGAATAACTTACCTTGACATTCCGTCGTCTCCAAAGCAGTGAACTTCCAAAAAATAAATAAAAGCCACGGCTCAACCTAAGGTAATGCGTGGTACGTATCAGAAACAACCAGCTTTCGCTCTGGAGATCCAGAATAGCCTCGAAGCATATAGCAAAAACAATTGAGAAAAAGAAGATGACGACGACGTTTCAATCACGCTTCAAATTTCGCGGGTCGAGTGCGGCAATCCTCGGATCGTGAAATGTGTGGCGTGTCGCCTCCCGGTATTTTACGACTCCCTGCAGCGAACATACCGATATTTTGCTCCATTTTGCCAGCAAATTCTCTCGTCAAAATTCTTCGATATTTTGCCAGCAGAATTGCTAGCAAAATCGGGCTATGTCTAATTTGGGCACCCAGGAGCACGTGACCGCTTGTTCAGCCATGTTCGATTGGGAATAAAGGAGGAACGCTGCATCGCAGCCTTTTCGGACCAAAACCAGTCGACTCAGCGTCCAAAAGACTACAACATATGGGCCAATCGCGGTTATCCGTGCTTTTATAAGAACGAAATGGCGCTTTTAGTGACATTTTGCATACAAATCCCCATCTAGTAGGGCGCAGTCACCCAGTTTCGGTGGAAGTGCGCGAGTTCGATTGGGATTCTAGTAGGAAGGGAGCGTCGCAGCTTCCTCGGACCAAGACCATTCGACTCAGCACCCAGAAGACTACAACTGGTGAAAATTTGATTTTAGGGTATACTTCCCCTTTACAGGCGAAGCGCCAGCACCGAAAAAGAGCCCTAAAAGTTGCACTTTTATTTTCCAAATCCGACCCCAGGCCCGGGAAATTTGAAACTCAGCTCAATAACGCCAAAAAGAGACTATTTTATCCCTTGCTCACAAGAGCTTCCCTGGTGGTATCGTCTTGTTCCGAGGCAATGTTTGGGAAGGTGCGGGCATTAGCTGCCCTAAGTTTCGCGCAAAGCTCCAAGCGAAATCGATTTCCTCGCTTTCTCGCCAGAGTTTTCAAGACCGACGCAACTCGTCGTCAAAAAGTACTCAGCGTGGATTTCGTGCCGAATTCCGCCCCAAACAATTTAGGCTGACCTCTCGCCACCAATCGAACCCACTGATATGTATCTACCTATACACGAGCAATGGTTTGAGCCCAAAGAAGGACAACTTCACAACGAGCACACTTTCTGAGGGTAATATTTTCTATGTATATCAGTATTAGAACACCATCAAGACGACAATTTGACCAGCAGAAAGACATAAAATTGCACTACAAATACAGCAGCTGTATAAACATAAATAATTGAACAGAAAACTATGTAACTGGATCCCACCAAAAACAGTAAAGCATCCCAAATAGTATGCGCATACACATATACATGAAGAAAGGCTATGTTGCCACCATACACTGGCTACGCACACGGACATAATTCTGGAGAGCTGAGCATCAGCGCATCTGCATGAACGCGCGCACACCCACACATGCGCATGCGCATGCACACGCGCGCGCACACACACACACACATATACACATGCACGCGCGCACACTCCTGCCCTGTGCTGTCGAGCCACTGCCACAAGGGTTGCGTGGGCCTCGAAGGCACCGGAGAGAGAGAATAGGAGAACGCAGTCCCATAGATACACACACACGCACACACAAACACACACATGTACACAACACGTGCAAGTACACACGTGGCAGCTTACTACAAGAGAATCACACAAGTTCACATGTGAGCATGAACTGTATTCACAGTTGGTCATACTGTCTTGGGCATATGAGGGAGGAGCAGGAGAGTGAGTACGTGACTCAGACACAATGCGCTTCGACATGCTAGCACATGCACCGGTTTCGGACAGTGGCAGAACGTGACGGAGAGAGAGAGAGAGAGAGAGAGAGAGAGAGAGAGAGAGAGAGAGAGAGAGAGAGAGAGAGAGAGAGAGAGAGAGAGAGAGAGAGAGAGAGAGAGAGAGAGAGAGAGAGAGAGAGAGAGAGAGAGAGAGAGAGAGAGAGAGAGAGAGAGAGAGAGAGAGAGAGAGAGAGAGAGAGAGAGAGAGAGAGAGAGAACACCAGCGTTCCAGCTCAAGCTCCAAATTTCTAGTTGTTTCCCCTGCTCACAGTAAACACAGAACAGGGCTCAGGCAGTGCCGAGGAAGTGCTTGTACTTGGTGCAGTGTCGTGAGCAGGATAAACTTCCAACATCTCTACACAGTGTAGCTCTTCAGGCGCACACGAAGACTCAGAAACCGGAATATACTTTACATGACGATTGAAAGTCCAGCAGCACAACAAAACTTCCAAGGACTGGTTTGGCACTAGCTTCCGTCTCATTGGCGTGTGCCCAGCCAGTTTTGGAAAGAAAGAGTAGACGTTCATTTCTCGTTCAACCTGCAATGAACTGGTGACAACACAAACCAACAAGACGACGATGGTTGTCATCAGCTCATGTGTTCGCCACCGCAGTGCTACCTTTCACTTTCCTGCTCCAAATGCACTACCAGGCTGCATGGTACTACATACTGTCGTGGACATGGAAATCCGGTCGCACGTATAGCAGCCCCAGGGCGCTGGCCATGCAGCCGTAGCACGGTTTATCATGCGCTGCTGCTAGTCGCATTGGATCAACATGTGCACTGCATGCAACGTTCTGTACGAGCTGAGGGCGCCGGCCCCGGTCAATCGACTGGATTTCCATGTCTGCGACAGTACAATATGTCGATAATAGACCGTGATTTGCATTTTCCAATGATTAGGACTGGTATTATTTCTATTTTTCACACTTAGAAAGAAAACAAGGGGCAAGATTTGATATGGATTATGTGGTTGTTGGCTATGTCACCATTTGAAAAAGGGTTGCAACCGTGATAGCACTGTAACATGAGTTTAAACCTACGTATTGCATGGTATACTCAACAGTTGGCGAGCAGAGAATTTCGTGCCGAATTCCGCCCCAAGGTTGTGCACAGCAAACAACTTGATAATTATATCATTAGCCCTACCCTTGTGCTATACGTACCCGTTGTGCCGATCGAGCCTGAGCCCTCTACTCGACTCCACGGTCCAATGACATTCGGTCATCATGGCCAAATTCAAGTCACTCAAGTGTTGAGAAGTGTCTACGTCGTCGCACACGGCATGTGTCGACATACAAAAATATGTATACGATAGAGAAAGAACTACTGAAGAGCAACCAACTGGTTTCAGCATTCTCCTTCAAAGGATAGGTCGGTTGCAGAGGACCAAAGCCGGACAATAGTTGGAAATTCTCAGCGTTGAATTTCTACAGGCTGTAGATACCTGGAAAAGCTCGATTTCCCGCCACGGAAAATAAAAAAGTCTTGATTTGGGGTGCTGACCTTTTGAAGTTTTTGAAGCAGGCGAAGCACCATGCATGCATGCAGCAGCTGCAAAAAAAGAAAGTAATTAGTTGCACTTTTATTTTCCAAATCCGACACCAGGGCGACCAGGCCCGGGAAATTTGAAACTCAGCTCAATATCGCCAAAAAATGACTATTTTATCCCTTGCTCACAAGAGCTTCCTTGGTGGTATCGTCTTGTTCCGAGGCAATGTTGGGGAAGGTGGGGGCATTAGCTGTCCTAAGTTTCGCGGAAAGCTCCAAGCGACATCATTTTCCTCGCTTTCTCGCCAGAGTTTTCAAGACCGACGCAACTCGTCGTCAAAAAGTACTCAGCGTGGATTTCGTGCCGAATTCCGCCCCAAACAATTTAGGCTGACCTCTCGCCACCAATCGAACCCACTGATATGTATCTACCTATACACGAGCAATGGTTTGAGCCCAAAGAAGGACAACTTCACAACGAGCACACTTTCTGAGGGTAATATTTTCTATGTATATCAGCATTAGAACACCATCAAGACGACAATTTGACCAGCAGAAAGACATAAAGTTGCACTACAAATACAGCAGCTGTATAAACATCAATAATTGAACAGAAAACTATGTAACTGGATCCCACCAAAAACAGTAAAGCATCCCAAATAGTATGCGCATACACATATACATGAAGGAAGGCTATGTTGCCACCATACACTGGCTACGCACACAGACATAATTCTGGAGAGCTGAGCATCAGCGTGCGCACACCCCCACACACACATCTGCATGCACGCGCGCACACCCACACATGCGCATGCACACGCGCGCGCACACACACACACACACATATACACATGCACGTGCGCGCACACACCTGCCCTGTGCTGTCGAGCCACTGCCACAAGGGTTGCGTGGGCCTGGCTTGAAGGCACCGGAGAGAGAATAGGAGAACGCAGTCCCATAGATACACACACACGCACACACAAGCATCACATGTGGGCATGAACTGTGTTCTCTTCTGCCACTGTCCGAAACCGGTGCATGTGCTAGCATGTCGAAGCGCATTGTGAGTCACCTACTCACTCTCCTGCTCCTCCCTCATATGCCCAAGACAGTATGACCAACTGTGAATAATCCGCCGGAGCCTACTCAGACCACGCAGTGGTTGCCAGCTATTCTGGATTATATGAAGAATGTGATGTCGAACATATCAATGTGTTTGGCCTAGTTTCCTAACTCTTGATAGCTTTTTTGTAGTGAAAATTCATGAATTTTGTGATTTTATTTGAATCCTTGGTGTTAACGTATGCGTGGAACACCAGGTTTCGTTGATAAAAGCCATTGTTCCCTCTATGTTCTTCGGCCTTTTGAATAGCGAGCCTCGGAACAAGCATATTCTGTGCATTATAACACAGGAGTGGTCAGGGTTGGGACATTGATATGTTCGACATCACATTCTTCATATAATCCAGAATAGCTGGCAACCACTGCGTGGTCTGAGTAGGCTCCGGCGGATTATGCTCGCGAAATCATGGAATAATGCTTTCATGGATTCTCGCATTATGCTCGCAAAATCCTCATATTATGCTTTGGCACGTGGGGATACATATTCACTTTGTTGCACTTATGGAGCCTCAAGCTTCGGAAAATTGTGCCTTTTCGTACTTGCAAGTGGCCATTAGTACAACAAAATACATGAATATCCCCATACCATGCATGCTAGAGATCAACATGGAAAGGAGAAAACATGACTTCTTCTAATCATTAGTTGATCTCTTTTGTTTTTCATTGCCAAATTATTTTGAGTTACCTTTGAAAACTATCATGTTCAACTGGCTTCGTAATCATCATACTCGTCCAACCGATGTCACCCTCACCCTGGGAATAATCAGCTCATCTCTCAGTATTGATTAACAAGCCATACACTGCACTCATCTCCTTTCCTCTCTCTCTCTTCCTCCCTTTCCTTAAACAGTACACAGGAGAGCCCCTCGATAGGCCTCTGCGGCCTTTGGACAATCCTTAAATAAAATCAATCAACGTAGCTCCACCTCTCCTTCCACCATGACCGAACATCAACTACTAGTATACCTCATTTGTTTAATTATTAGAGCAATAACCATAGCTTGCACAGTCGATGGTCTCCTCCAGCGCACTTCTTTGCACACCTTTGCGGAAATGTTGCGAAGTAGTTTTTTTGTGAAAATGAAGAAAGTTGCGATTTCTTCCAAAACAACGGAAAGTTGCGAAAAAAAGTGGCGAGCATCTTTGGAAAAGGGCTACCCCGAACCCTTTACCATGCAGACCACCAGCACTGATCAGGTGCATTGTACACAATTGTGTAGCTTACATACTAGAATTGTGGTACAATCATGTAGTTATGCTCCTATCTCCGAAAGGATGCCAAATTATGCCAATAATTATGCCGGCATAATCCGCCGGTGCCTAGGTCTGAGCCATTTTGTAATTTGCCGCAGTCTCACTACGCCCTTATAAGGCCCTTACATGGCATTTTCTAATTGCAACTGTTGCAAATTGGGTTTCCGAAACAGCTCTTGCAAGAAGCAGTTCCACAGAAGGAAGTTTCGCGTACATGCACATCCAAAAAGGACTGCACCAATGTCTGCCGTGCACATGCACGCGGCCGGCCACAGGATGGTAGGAGCCATGGAGTAGTAGACTAAACAGTCCGTGCGCCAGATTCAAAAAAGTCGTCTAAAAGTTGACTTTTCATTTTCCGCACTGGGCAGTTTGCGGGTACTTTTTGAGTCGCATTCTCAATGGTGGACAATTTTGGAAAATGGTTTTGTGTCTATGGCTCGTTTGTTTTGGCATTTCGCTACCTGTGTGGTGAGCCTAAAAATTGCGCTTAGCCGTGGCAACGCAATGGTGTATTCCGTTTTTCAGCCAGATGACTTGTTTCGCTGTGGTCCGGCATCTTCCTAGATTCTCAGCCGTCGTCGAATTTGAGTATTTTCGAAACATTTTTTAGGGTGCAGGCGTGGGGCAAGGCTTTCACTCCCAGCCAATGGCACCATTTGGCATAACTCAGTCCTATGAACACGTCACCAGGCCCTCGTTAGTGTCCAGCCCATATTTCCAAAAAATGGACTGGACTTGAAACTTGACTCAGGTGTACAGACAGTACTATGCATTATGCACGTAATGACCGTATGCAATAACTTTCGCAAGCTACACGACAAGGACTCGCTGCAGAATAACATAATGATATTCACACCATATGCCATTGTGGTGCACCGTGATACCAATGACAGTATATTTATCGGTGATCAATTGCCTACTGGGTCGCTCCGTTGCCAAGAACGTCAACTTTGCGGACTGTGGAATGACCCGCGACACCGCCAACCACCCCTGACACAAAGCCAAATGCTGAAAGAGCTGACTGATACGGTACCTAGCAAGTTAACTAGATAATGCTCATCTTCAACAAAACCAGGACATAAAACAGTGCTATGATAAACTACCTCCGTCACCAGAAACAAATACAGTGCATTACGCATATGGATAGAGACTGCACTAGTACATGTATAATTGTATACCAATCTTAGAGAAACAAAACAAGTTATCGGGTCTATACCATCAGAGTTGGCAGCTATATGTATTGGATTCTCCAGGTGTGCAGAATGATGTTGGCGGCGTGGTTCATATCCACTGTTGGCTTGCTGTCGGCAGTACCTTCACTATCTCACGTCTAAGGCATTTTATAGTCTGCATGACTTGGATCAGAACGCCATAGTTATCCACACGAGAATGGTAAGAAATCCAGATCACTAAGGCCTTCTTCATTGCAGTTGGCGCAATACATTCACGAGATCGCGTCTCCGACCTCCAAATTGTAATTATAGCTGGCTAGTCTGTTGTTTATTGGCAGACAAGAATTGCGATGCTTCTTCAAAAGAGGCAGTTTAGCGATGTCTGTCCATGACATATTCCGCATTGCTGTGTGTGGAAGGAAAGGTGCAACAATATTAGATTGCTGCTGGCCATAGACATCAAACTGCAACATCTGGGCTTCAGCTGTCACAGGTCCATTAACAGAGAGACTGCCGCATATTGCACATACTGCAAACTATTGACTTCATGCCATCGCCTCATGGATCAGAAGTCACCACCATACTGAAAGAAGAACAGCAGAGGAAAACAGAACTGATGCAGTTAATTGGCAGCAACAACTTTACTCCTTCATTTCATTCGACGAATTTGAGTCGTGTAATGCAAGAAAAAAGTCAGAGAGCAGGATCTAGGAGAGGGCATGCACCAGTGCTGTTGTGCCTATGATTAGATGCTCAGAATTTCACCACAATAATGCACATAATACTGACATATTTACACTATGCAACCTAGTAGTCAACAAATTCAGAAAAAAATCTAGTACTTCAGCTGGTGAAATATCCCACCTCTATCCCCTAAGCTCAAATGTCCCTGTAAAATTGATAAAGGATTGGTAGATGCTCACTCGGAGTGGTGTTTGAAAAGTAACACAACAGGTCATGACGATTTAGAGCATGCTCAATTGTCTCTTCTCATAAAATCACAATATTGCCTGTGCGTGGTTTATTTCGGGTGCAATTGTGGGGCACATAGGTATCACTCTAATTTCTCGTGCATTCGAAAGATAAAGCTTTGGTCTATCACCCCACAAAGCGGCTTTAGTGTCCGCGATGGGTAAATGCCTTACCTGGTGTGAAATTGGTGACCATATTCCTCGTTTCAGCAATTACAAAAGTGAGACATTCGTCCTTGGTGGCTGCTCACGAACTGCAAGCTCCAAAATAATTCTCCAGGGTACGGCCATAGGTGTCTACATCACTCCGAGCCATCTCTCCAGTGTAGGAAAGGTCTCCTGACGAGACTAGAAGGGCTCTAAGCAGCAAATTTCATTGAAATATTCACCATTCGGAGATAGGCGAAATCAACAGAAAACAAGAATGCAGGTGCGGCGCCTTGGAGGCTACGATTCCCGCGAGAAAATGAAAATCGGTCTCTCAAGGGCCTTGGCGCACGGACTGAAAAAAGCTTCTGTGAATCCCGCTTTAGTGTAGAATAGCGGTGTTGTTAGGTCTTACATTGTGTCCACAATAGTAGAAAAGCTGACAGGATCGTTTTTCTAAATCCTGGAAGGTTTCCTGGCTGTGTCGTATCCGGTCGGCCCCGGGGTTGCACCCCAAGGCTGCGGTTCGACGACATGAACTAACTTACTTACTAAACCTTCCCATTACAAGGCCGTGCAGTGGTGGCCACTTGGAGAGAGTCCACCAACAGAATTACTCACGCACGCACATATACCTAGACATACTCTCACACACACACTCAGGCATATACAGACACGTACACTCACACCAGCGTTCAGCTCAGGTTGACTTACATCTTGAAAGGAGCTAACTGATACTTAGTTCAAGAGCCGATATTGAGAGCACAAGGCAAGAGAGACGGAAGCCGAAGCTTCCGCGAGGCGGAAAGCAAGAGAGAGAAAGCGAGAAAGGAAGGTGATAGCAATATTAAGGACGTTTAGCAATGCGAAAATTCGAACTTTTGGTGGTAGTGATATTTCGCGAAAATCAATTTCGAAAAAGAAAACTTGTGAGGTTTAGCAATGCGAAATGACTTTTTCTCGAAGTTATTTGAATCTTATAGTACCGTACCGTATATGCAGGTCAGTCTCAAGCAGGGGGCTGTAAAATTACTACTCCCTGTAGTCAAATGCGTACCGAGAAAAGAGAAAGTTACTTTCGCAAATCACTGCAACTTCGCGTCCAAGTTGTCGAAGTTTCGAGCTTTTTTCCTGTACTCATTCCCAGACTCGAATTTTCTTTCGAACTTTCGCGTTGCTAAACGTCCTTAGTAGAGAGGTTAAGTTACACGTTTTTTGCCCTTTTTCAAAACGCGGTGCAAATCTCACGTTACGTGTAATTTTTAGAGGTTAAGTTACACGTGCGACGTGACGTGAAATTTTGCCTGGCAGGATTCGGGTTTAGTTCGCACAAATATCAAATCTTCCAACAAACTAGATAAAACTCGATAAAATTCCGGAAACTCACACAAATTCGGTCGGAATAACCAAGCGAAACTTCCAAAAACTCACGTCATGAACTAACGTGCGGGACAGTCAACTCACGTAAAACACGTCAAATTTTACGTGAGTTTTTTCACTTTTTGACGTAAAAGTTCACGGACGTAAGACTTTTACGTGAAACTTAACCTCTCTAGTATCTAGTTGCGGCCATGGAAGTCCATGGCCACGAGATTGCTGGTCCCGCATGCGTATCAATAAGAGTCCATAACCCCCGGGGGGTTATGGACTCTTGGTATCAACCGTAGTAAATATGTGTACGAACTGTTGCATAAAGAGCGGGAGCCATGTGGGGAAATAACAGCGTATACCAAATAAGGAAGGCCCCAGGCCTTGTGTAAAGACATAAAATAAAGACGATTATGAACCCGTTTACGGGAGATAGATAAATAATTACAATTATTAGACACCTAAATAAGGCCCCCTGGGGGCCCGGTTATGTACTCTTGGGCATACTTGTCCCGTAGAGGCCTAAAAGGCACGTGTCAATAGCATCAAGAGTACATAACCCCAGGGTTATGTCCTCTCAAGGGTTTATGTACTCTTGGTACTCTTGATAGCATGGATACGACAGCTGCAGCTGCGTCAGGAAATCGAGATTTGCCGCAGTCTCACAAGGCCTTTACATGATTACATGGCAACTGTTGCAAATCGCGTCGCAGAACGTTGTATTGTGAATCGGCACGCCTTAAATTAGTCAATGCAGCTGTGCAGTAGCCAGAAGCACACATAATCTGTCTTGTGTCGGAAGCCCCGTTTCTGCAATTACCTCTTCAGGACCACGGAGCTTCACTTCAGGTTAGTCGGTTCTTGCTTCCCTGCTTAATAATAATAATTATTATTATTTTCACTAGTTTGAGGGAAAGAGACAAACGGAAAAAATCTGAAGAAAAAATTGGCTGTCACCACCAGGACTCGAACCAGGGACCCTCGCTTGTAGCTAGCGATGCTCTAACCACTGAGCTATGGTGTAGTCGTCATCCCAGCATAGACTGTTCAACATTAAATTTCTTCAGACTTCGTAACTCACACTTCCTGTGAATCCACACAGGCGGGTGGGACGCAGTCCTCACTGTACCCACATACTTCACGTGCACTCTAGCACGCGGGAGCCCCAAGTCATAAAATCTTCACTAGTTTGAGGGAAAGAGACAAACGGGAAAAGTCTGGAGAAAAAATTGACTGTCACCACCAGGACTCGAACCAGGGACCCTCGCTTGTAGCTATTATCATTGTGAAATTAGAAGCCACATGCCACGTACTGCTCTTTTCTCTCTGAGACTCAACACTTGCAAGCCAGATATAAAAGAATGAAAAAATCATCAGTCACACCACCGGGACTCGAACCAGGGACCTTGCTATTCGCGAGCAATGCTCTAACCAACTGAGCTACAGTATGACTCTTATCCACAGTGATGGGAAATCTATCCTTCCTCGATCAATCACTGGCTTGCGTCATTTTTTTCTTCAGACTTTTCCCGTATGTATCTTTCCCTCAAACCAGTTAACATGTTATGACTTGGGGCTCCCCGTGTGCTAGATTGTAGGTGAAGTGTGTGGGTTACAGTGAGGGGATGCGTCCCACCCGCCTGTGTGGATTCACAGGAAGTGTGAGTTACGAAGTCTGAAGAAAATGTTGCTGGATTGACGACTACACCATAGCTCAGTGGTTAGAGCATCGCTGGCTACAAGCGAGGGTCCCTGGTTCGAGTCCTGGTGGTGACAGTCAATTTTTTCTTCAGACTTTTCCCGTTTGTCTCTTTCCCTCAAACCAGTTAACATTGTTATTATAACTATTATTATTAAAAAGAGGACCAAAAGTTTACAAGTTATCTGTTTTGTCCAACACTAACAGTTATAGCGGTTATAGCAGCTAAGCATCAGGTCGTTGAATGTCCTGATCTCATCAGTCAGTTTTGTGCTAACTGTTGCACGTTTTAACTCAACAGTATTCTGCTTATAACCGTTATAGGCCATTCACACGACGGGCAAACTTACTTTTATCGTACTGTTTCCAAGGATATTTACTCGGATACGATAAACTTGGACACACGCGTGCAACTGATTTTATATCTTGGCCGAGGCCCTTTTGCTCGCGATTATCTTTGCAAGCCAGGAAAAGTGTCGGTTGTTGAAAGTGCGTACTGCAAATGCAGTGCTTGAACAAGGGAAAATTCAAAACTGAACATTTCCCGGCATTTTCAGGAGGGTACTATGGATACATTGACGGTTGCAAAGTTTGCCCAGCACCGTGTGAACTGGATCACGGTTTGCCAGTGTTATCTTGGTCACACATGTGCAAATGTTTACACGTCGTGTGAATGGCCTATAAGTGTTGGACAAAACGGATAACTTATGGTTCTCTTTTTGAATTATTAATATTATTATTTGAAACTCGGATTTTGAACCATAAATAAATGTAGAAAGGAAAAAGACTTTATGGATACGAGTTACTCTTAACTCGTACGTATCCATAATGTCTTTTCCTTTCTACATTATTATTATTATTTGAAACTCGGATGTTGAGCAATAAATAAATGTGGAAGAGATCTTAACTCGTATCGATATGTCTTTTTCTCTTCCACAATTATTATTATTATTAAAAGTAGAAAGGAAAAGGACATATGGAAACAATTATTATTATTATCAATTTTTTCTTCAGACTGTTGCCTGTTTGTCTCATTCCCTCAAAACCAGTTAATATTTTATGACTTGGGGCTCCCGCGTGCTAGTTTGTACGTGAAGTGTGTGGGTACAGTGAGGGCTGCGTCCCACCCACCTGTGTGGATTCACAGGAAGTGTGAGTTACGAAGTCTGAAGAAGATGTTGAACGGTCTCTGCTGGGATGATGACTACACCATAGCTCAGTGGTTGGAGCATCGCTGGCTACAAGCGAGGGTCCCTGGTTCGAGTCCTGGAGGTGACAGGCAATGTTTTCTTCAGACTTTTCCCGTTTGTCTCATTCCCTCAAAACCAGTCAATTTATTATTATTGCAATGAAAAATTTCAACTGTGCACTCATAACCATGTATAAACAATTACTACATACTAAAATGAAACAATTCCAGAACGTTTTCTTGTGACTATCATCAGTGGAACATCGTCACCTAGTAAGAATCACTAAAACAACCAGTTATATAGCTAGAGTATTATGAAAAGAAGCGCGAGAATGCAGCACAGCTAGCGGTTATGCATAACGTGTTTAGTGTGAACCTTGCAGTCTATCTGAGAATGGTGGCAGTAGAGGCGTTATGCATAACCGCTAGCTTTTGCCAGCACCCTCGTGATGTTGCAGATATGTGGCTTCATTATTGTAGTTGACGTTGATATAGTGACTTTGGCAAGTTTGAGTCGTGTCAAGAAGTCGGGTAGGATTCAGTACTAGGCAGTAGTGGAACGTGAGTGGTAGTCTTTTTTAGGGTGTCCTGGATTCGGTTTGCAGCGCTGTGGAAATGGCTTGCTCTGGATGTCCCAGCGCTGGATGTTGCATCAAAGGTACGACTTCGTAACACGCCCTAAACCTAAACAAAATCAAAAATTGACTTGGGTCGTTGGGAGTCTGTGAAAAAACACCCACTCGTGCTCTTGTGACAGATTCCAGGGCCACGTTGAGGGGCCCTATCCCACCATCCATGGCTGCTTGTGGACTTATTTTAGGTTTGGATCCTGCGCACGGACAGAATGGGCAAGAAAATGTGAAAAATTGTAAATGCATTAAGGGACCATCGCAAAAGTTCGCAGAAGCCCCTGAAACGAAGAGCATACGTTGGGGGGGGGGGGGGGGGGGGAGGGAGTCGGTGTCGAAAATCGCAAACCGGGCTTCAATTCAAAAAAGTATTGACGACATGTAG